CGCACCTAAGCACATCGATCACAACACTTAATTTTGAACGGGTACAAAAGACATACCTGAAAAGTGTTAAATCTTGTGTACAAGGGACAGCACTCCGTATGGCATATGTGAAAGCGTAATCTGTATAAGAGTTATCCCCCTTGTAATGTCCATGAAGGGTCGTTACTCAAAGCCATAGGCACATGTAAATGGATACTTTACAGTTATTTTGGAGAGAACCGTCCCATGATCAAGGTCAGTAATATTTATTTCAACACGTTTATGTATTTTCGTGAGCTGTCTACAGAATACTATGATAGAGCAGTATTGAAGATCTAAACGGGACTATTTATCGGCAATATTGACGTTTGAATTCTTCGAGCTCCCTTCCCATGGATGGATTTTAATAACATTCTTACTAATCATTACAGCAATAGGCCTTAATTTCCTTATTATTCTTCGATTGTTAATGAGGCAAATTAAACACAAAAGCATCTTTTGAAATGCCTATATACTGTATAAATTGACGAAAACCTTATTAGCATAAGCATTGCTCTGGCAACTGATGTGTAGGAAAATAAACCAAACATCAATGTACATGTATATATCTATTTCTGTTGTGAGTGATATGCAGGCCTAGGTCGTACATCACGTAACTTTGATGAAAATGTTATGTTTCAAAATGGAAACCTAGATCCAGATTATGCCATATATGGGGTCAAGTTCAAGGTCGACAGTAAAAATAGATCTAGATTATAAACATTACCACGTGGTTTGTTACTGTGAGTGTGAAATTGATTTTTATGTCCCATTTTTATATAGGCCTACATTTCACTTTTCGTAATTGCCAATGGCATTTGTTAAATAGATAGATTATGAATATCGGTACGTAGGTGATGTACCAGCTCCACTTTATTTTACGTATTTACTCATTTACTAAAATTATTTAACAGGGCATATAACTTCATTGTTGTCGAAGTAAACTAATTCATCATTTATTGTTTGGTGATTTATTGAAACCTACACTCTGTCTCGAGACCGTCTGGGACGTCGTCAAAACTTGCCGAGTCACGCATCTTGTCGATGATGCGGCTGGTTGCCTGACTCAGCTCAGACGGTGGTGGTCCTCCGCCGGTCTTCCTTGACTGAAATCTGTGTTCAGTGTACTGTTTCTTTGCCTTCCGATTCATGTTTGTCCATTTCTCTCTCACCTCAATCAAAGACCACGGAGCTACCCCCTTAGCATTCACCTCTTTTACAATCTCTGACCATAAGGCGTTTTTACAATGTGCAATGTTTATCCAGAGACCATATAATAGATTATTATATGGTCTCTGGTTTATCCGATAGCAAAGACCAGTTGGCCTCAACCATTGACTGGATTACATTCTCCTCGTCAGCAGAGAAATTTCGACTTCTTTATTTCCTTGGGGTGCAGGCGACATTTTGCGTTTCCATTTTTGACAAACCGGAAGTAAACAGAACACGGAATTGTGGGATATATGGAAGCTAACCAGTGACGTTAACCACACTGTTAACTTTGACGGTGACGTTAGCTAATGTCATAGCTAACCATGTTTTGAACAACGCATATTTAACGTGCGGTTAGCTAACGGCCGGGTAAGGATTTAACCGGCCGTTAGGAGTTTACCGGCGGTTAAGATAACCGAGTTTTGAACAACTGACGAGGCTATTTTATCAATCTGTTAGCACTCCTGACAGGCATTTCCTATGATTACTTACTCACGGGGGTATTTCAATGAGGTAATATGCGTCACACTTAAACATTGTAAGTTAAACATCTTAAATCAAAATCATTATGTCGGGAATTTTCCTGAACATGTTACATCAATGTCATAATGCATTTCAGACTGTATTTATTACCAATGATGATACTTAAACATAACGGTTATGGATCTAAGGAGACCAGAGTCAATAAGATTTTTCAGAGTTTTAAGAGTTTTCCAACAGGCGATCAACAACCGTGAAACGTACCACCCCATTTCACTTGAAAGTTTGAAATGCCATTTGAATATTACTACGGCTGACACTGACATTCGCTCTTTCGTTGGCTACAAAGTCACGTTGAGAGTGGGGAACTTCTAAGGCATTATATGCAGTTAAAGTTGAGAACTTAATATCCAGCAGGTTTTTTTCCATTCACTGACCTTAAATCTGCCGTTTGGCGGCAAAGAGATAATAAGACATGCATTTGCCAAGTTTCATGCCATACAACCTCTGATAGGGTTCCGTGAGCAAACCTGCTTTAGTCATCAGGATCAGGTTGTGAGTCAAAGGTGTAGCATTATACAATACCTTTAAACTCATTCTTTTAAACTGAATGGAGAAGACCGCTTCAATGTGTTACTTGACATAACAACTGGAACTCTCCCCAGCATTCCGCACACACGTTTCGTTCTTCATCTGCCAGTCAAAACACTTTCATCCAAATATACTTGCACGCTGTAGGCTGAAGCGGATATTGTGCTAACAACTAATTAACTAATACAACTAGTTATTCAACATATAGGAAATAACTGGTCAGAGAACCTTTATCATTTACTGATTCAACACAGACCATTGAAGCCGAGAGTACATGGCAATACAGACTGTTTTGCGACGTGAGCGCCTTATGGGGATATATTTCATGCAATCGTTTGCAAAGATTCATAGGTATATAAATACATATGGATAAATGAAGATACACATTGAATAATAATGTATAGTTAGTGATGTAGAAACTTCTTGGGCAGCAATTTAGACTTGGTGCATAGACCTGAGGGTAGACAACTACATGGCATAATAATGTAACGCATACAAAGTCGCGCGGTAGGGAATAAACTTAGGTCTCTCTAGTCTTAAATATCTTTGTTATAAAAATGCTAAATACATGGTAAGTTTTTCATTTTTTGGCTAGTAGTCCTACAAACGTATCGAAAGATTGGTGCTTTGTATATTAATCTGGTAAAATTCCATATTATAGTGAATCTTAATGTTGTCGTATATAGGGAGTTTGATGATCTAACATCGTTGGACCTATTTAATACTATTCATTGTGTGTGTCGTATCACATGTGATCATCTGAGAAACAGTTTCATGATTTTACACGCCCTGCGTTGAGAAAAGTTATAGTAATCATCAGTGGCACTCTGTGTCGATTGCAGGAACCATTATGTGATCATACCTTTTGTTCCATTTTTCAGATTTCTCACTCACTGTAATGTAAGACAACCCTAGGATTCCCGATGAGATGTTACTATGTAGTTACTGTGGTGAGGATATCCCACCAGGGACTCAATGTGTAGAGGGAGAAGAGGCGTATCATGAGGAGTGTATCAAGTGAGTATATATTGTCTGTCATGTCTTTCTTCTGGGTACGCGTTCTATTCAGTTCAACTTATATCTGACCTTATTTGGATTAAACAAGTTAACAAGTGTCAAGTATCTGAATATTTCAATCTGCTGTATCTGACAAAACCAAAACATCACAGAATAGGGTAGTGTGCACTGAAGCTGTTCCTCCATGATAAAATATATATGTTTCCTTTGTCATAATCTGCGTAAAGCATTATTTAATTAACATAGGATGTAATGAAAAAACATTCAATATGATCTTCACCACTGACTGAGTGGAAATGTATTCTTTTCTTCTACTGTTGTTTCTGAAACTGAGGGACAGACCATAATGATGAAGAAAGTTTGGCTGGAGTTTTGCCATGTTTATTTGCAACACCAGATTCATCAGTATTACATTATCACCGTCTTTGAGATGGTGAACATTAGATTTTGAACCTTTGCCTTTTATTTGTTGTATCATGTTCCACACCTTTGACATCGGTGTATGAGAATTAATTCTGGAAGCATACTTTCTCGAAGATTGACACGTATTCTGTTTCAATGCGCTTCAAGCAATGTCATTAAGTATAAACAACGTCTTCACTGTTCCAGAAAAGGTCATGCTTTAAGTGTTTCATACAGTTTGATTTAAGTACCAATCATCCCTTCACTTTCCTAATTGAAAAAAGTGGATGAGCAGCAGGGTTGATAATTTTGAGAATGGTAGGGATGTGATCACTCCCACATATGTCAACATGGACCATCCATTCAAATTCATTATACAAGTTGGAGTGCCAAATCGTGTACAGAATATGTTCCAGTGTCTGAATGTTAATAGGTGGTTGAATCATCATTATATACTTTGTTTATTCCATGAAATAAATCCCTGAATGATTTTACCTTTATTATTAGTATAGGCACTTCCCCAAAGCGGGTTCTTCGCATTGAGATCAACTATGGTGCTTCCATTTTAGTACGACATGGTATCATGCATAGCCCCCATCTCTAAATACAAATCTTCAAACTGTTGCTGTTCATCTGGTATTTGCATTGACACTGTGCAGCTTGTATATTCCTTCCTCTTCTGATATTCGACACGAATGAAGAGATATATAAAAAAACTGCATAATGAATAAAAGTTCATGCTGGAATGACAGGTGGTTAAATTTACTTTTCAGTTGGATTCTCTTCAACCTTTGAATGTTCAACCAAGTGTTACATATACAGAAATCCCTTTGAATGTTTCAGACTCAATATTCCAAGAGGAAAGGAAGCACTCAAGATCTTAGGAGATATTTCCACACAGTCCAATGTTTTGTGCATGGCAATACATGTCAACTACATACATGGTCTAGCACAGGAAAACAGGGAACAAACTAAAAGGAAGAAGGAAAAGAGGGCTATAAAAGCAAGGGAATTGTTGAAAAACGCAACTGCACTCCGCAATTCTAATTCAGGGCATCTATTGATTCACTTCGTGGGACGAGAAAAAGAAGACACCTTTACTGGGGCATTTGACGAATTTGCTGATGACAAACTTCAGACTTTGATTCAAGATGGAAGCCTGTTCACAGATGTGTACTCAAAACGGTTATTGGGTGATTATGCCACAGATCTAGACAACCTGCAGAAGAAGCAACAGGAAGTACTTCAAAGAGATATCAGGAAAGCTCGAGGCGAAAACCAAAGAACAACTACTTGCTCAGGAGCAGCTGGAAAGCTAAAATTGAAGGCCAAGGAGACACTGGATGAGGAGTTGCTTGATGCAATACTTCAGCAGAGACAGAAAGTAGTGGATACACTGAAGGAAATTGAAATATTGCAGAACATTAAGTTAAAAGAAAGAAAAGAAACTGTCGGTGTGTATTGATAAGGCTACTTTAAAGGATACACGCCATTATACAGATTTCCTTGTACTGTATGTTGAAGGTGGCCTATATCTCACCACATCTGACTCTAAAACAAAAATAGCTCTGGACGAACGAATCATCAATCCATCTGATCAAACTTTGATAAGATTCCTGAAAAGCAAAACTCAGTTTAGATCAGTGCATCCTAATGCAAATACATTCCGGGGCTTAACTAAACTTCATGAGAGTAGATCCGTTCAATTCAAAGGCTATTTCAAAGGGAAGGATACCGATGAGAAAACAGTCCGTTACATGTTGGATGACCACAGACTTCTTGAATACATTAGTGCATTTTCAAAACTACCTGATGGTGGTACCTACCTTTATGGCATCGCAGAGAAAGAGACTTCCATCAATGGAAGTCCATACAAGTCAAAGTGTATGGAAATTCAACAAGTTCCAGTCGGTAATCAGCAGAATGTAGAAGCTAAAATAAAGGAGGGAGTTTCAAAAGGTGTGTTAATCTGTGACTATGATGGACATGAAACACACAATGACATCGTGGAGGTATTTTTCATTCCATCTTCTCGAGACAACGAACAACCTGATGTTGGTGTGGAGGCCCCTGAACATTTTGTAATTCAAGTACACGTCCAGCCTGTCAGTGGCATAGTGTTCTATGATAAACAGGGGCCTTTGGCATACAGAGTGGAAGCAGACACTGTCAAACCATACTCTGTAAAACAGTGGTTTCATGCCGTCCTCGTGAACAGCGTAGTGAAGTAGATGAACGGATCACAAACAAGTCAGTAAGTTTGCTAACTTTCTGGGTCATTTGTGTTTTGCATTATATATTTTAGTTTCATTACACAAGAATATATACTCTTCAAAAATGGAAACTTGACACTGACTTTCCAATTTTAATAATAAAACAACTACTTGTAGGCAGGATACAAGCAACAAACGATCATGATACTATGTGGGGATAACAATATTAATTCCCAATACATTTCCAATGTCCCAAACTGAATCTCCTGGAAACCACTCGAAGCCTGTACTCAGGCAAGTGAGTGACAGATGATATGTTCTGCCTCTCATACTGCAATGCCAAAGTTGTCAAAGTGTAATGGTGGATTCCTCAGTACAAGTCTCACCTCCAGCTCCGTTTATGCGAATCGGATGTCTTTTGCATTACCATTCGCTAACATACTTGATTGTCATTGGGTTGTATTTGAGTCTGTAACAATCCGATAGCATGATTTTAGCAATGTCAAGTTTCTATTTATTTGGAAAGCTAAATGTTCATGTTGTGTAATGGAACGAGACATGGGTGCTGTAGTGGAACATGATTTGTTCGTTCAAATCAACTCACAAAGTATAATATAGTGAGTGAATGAACATTTAAGATCATATCAGCAATATTACAGCCTTATCGTGACGACAAAATTATCTATTAATAAAGGCCAACTAAGATAGAATAAATACATGTCAAACAAAGGTAGTAAAATCACTAGATATAATTTCTCTTAAAACTAGTATGTAACCAAAGAATATTATTATATAATATATAAACCTCCAACAAGACAACATAAAAACGGGCTGTGGATCGCCAACAGTGAGTGAGTTAGTATTTAACGAAAAACATTGTAAAGAGTAAAATCTGTCGACGATAGAGTATCACAGATATGAATTTAAAACTAGAATGTAAATCTAAAACATTTTGATTGAAGAAGACAGTTCAATATAAAACGCGGGCTATAGATCGCCAACAACTGAAGGTAGATCACCATATTTGAGACCATGGGGACTTACAGTACTTTGGCTTCCTGCATGGACCCTGGCTGGATTTAAACTACCCCTTCAGCTGTTAGCGATTTTACGCAAGGTTAGCAATTGATCCAAAATGTACATAGATATTGGTTTACATTACTATTCTTTGATTGATATGGGCTTACATACCCACTCAGGTGGACTTCAACCCCCATCAGTTAATAATCACATTTTACCGTTTTGTAAAATATTTAACTATATACTATCAAATTTTAGGATTAATTTATTCTATTTCTTTTAAAAGGTACCATGTTAAATGAGAATATTATTATATATATTATTTTCGTTATTGGTAATAGAAGCGACAAAACCCTTTCCACATTCATAGGAATTCTCTGCCAAAAGCAGAGTCGATTGTACAGTTGTGACAACCGGTATATCATGAGAAGATATTTGTTTCAGTATTACAGCTGTATGACGTTGTTTGTAAACAAATTGGGTCACAACCATACTATCCAGTGATTGTAACCATGCCATACGATGACAGAGCATTTGTTTATGAATCACCAAGAAATAGTGATGATACCAGGTGTTCGCACAACATGACATGTTAAAATCATCCACAAAACAGCGATCCATCAATGGAATCATTTTAAGACCTCAGAGAGACTATTTATTCTAATACTGAATAAAGTGACAGATAAAATACCGCCTTGTGGAACACCCTGACCCTGATTATAATGGTCAGACAGGGTAGAACCCACGCGGACTTGAAACTGCCTGCTGGTTAACAACTTGGATATGAACGGAGAGAGACGGCCTCATAGTCCAAAATCACGTAAATATTTTATGATGTCTTTGTTTCCATGTCGTGTCGTATGCCTTATCTAAATGAAAAGATAGACACTGCATGTTTGTTTTGTTAATTGCATGTTTAACAAATGACTCTAATCGAACTAGGGGCGGTGGGGTAGCCTAGCTGTTAATGCGTTCGCTGGTCATGCTGAATACCCGGGTTCGAATCCCCACATGGGCATAATGTGTAAAGCCCATTTCTTGTGTCACCGTCGTGCTGAAATATTGCTAAAAGCAGCTTAAAACCCAACTCACTCACTCACTCACTACTTAAACTAAGTGATCAACATCGATTTTTTCCAAACTCACACTGAATATTAGCTATTAAAGGCACAATATCACACCACACTTCTCTAAAATAAATAATGCATTTCTCTCATTAATTACTGTCAGCCCTCAGGGAAGCTACCATATTAATTTATTCCAAACAAAATTACGTGTTTACATTACAATATTAGACTAAAAAGTTTGATTGAATTAATGCAATTAATGCCCTCTACTGGCCGAACATTATTTCAAATGATTCCTATAGAATTATGTCCCATGTAGCGCTCTTTACGAATATCCTATGCACAACCTGTGATTGAAAACCATTTCGGCAAACACCGACAACACCGCGTGCTAGTTTTCTATGGACAGTGTTCTCTGTTTTATTAACACAACCCGTCAAAATATCACCCAATACTACATTCCTTATTCAAATAGTAAACTCACAGTTTTACAAAATGTGATTCGAAATGCAATACAAAACATTCAATATTCAATTAATTCACACACTTCCAAAGAAATAATATCCAAAATGCAATACAAAAATACACTCACGCATTTCTGCCACCAACACCACTGAAATACGCCTCTGAAGCTTTCACCATGACATTCGCTTAGGTATCACCCTCTCACCCAAACTGTCACATCCAGTTGTCCTTATTTAAAGGAGAACACATTTCAGCCTAACTAGTTTGAGCTTATTTTGCAGTAATTTCATTGGGATGGCAAACACAACACTGTTGCTAATGATAATATTATGATTCTAGCACGACATTGTGTGATACTCGATTCTGATTGGCTGAGAGCTCATCAAAACTCTTCTTAAATGGCAGTTTAAGGACCGCTAATTAAAGTGACCGATTCACCGCGTATGAATACAATGAACTCGTTGACCCTTTAGTTTGTTAACAAACATGTCGGACATCGGATATTTCAACCCCGACATCATCTTTGAGGTTTTTGAACTAAAAAGCAAATGTCCAAGATATTTTAGCAATTTCCAAGAAAAAGCCCCTTCAAGCCTTATGTTTTGCACGCCAAAGAGTCTGGTTTAAAATACTTATCAGTCGTGCTAGAATGAAGATAAAGCTAATCTATTTTTTAAACGCGTTTGGTTTTTGAATTACATTTAGCGGTCTTAAATCAACGATAAAGGACCGTAAAATTGAAAACAGAGTAACTTTTAATTTGAGTAAATGGGAAAAGTTTCGACTATAAACATGATTTTCATATGTGTAAAAAATATAATTTCATGTATAAAGATTACTATTAGCAGTGAAAATAGCAGTGCGTGTGCTTCAATTAGCAGGGTAAGTGGACGAACTTTCTTTATTCAATAATAAATATATCTAGTTCAACATAGTGGCAAAAGTTTGATGGTAGTATGAAGCTGATCATGGATTCAATTGATCGTTACCGTTTAGAATCAAACTAAGTTTCCTTGTTTTTGTGTTTGTTGTTCTATCACAGCGCTATTACTGGGGTTCTTGTCTCATGGTTTCTGTGTCAGGTATGTTTCAGGAAATACGACAAAATGCCAGGGCGAGAAGTGAGTTTAAACAGCAAGGATTTTCAGCGTCCTCGCTTGAAACCAGGCGTGTACACAGCATTACTAAGATTAAAGACACCTTTGTGAAGAAAGGTAAGTGTTTCTTTAATGTTGTTAGAGGATGACAAAATGCCTATTGACGATTTGCTATGCTTAAAACATAGTCACAAGTTGTTCTTTTAATGTCACCGAACTGATGAGATAATAGATGTATACTGATGTTACAGGTGTACTAAATGTTGTTCCGTCGGAGATACCCACGCATCTATCGGATATCAGAGATGACCTCATTTCGCTGCTGATGACAAATGGAGCTCTGTACCAAGAAAACATCATTACCAGTGAACCATTGGGGAAAGAGACAACACATGTCTTTTGTATTTGTCAAAATCTTCAGCAGCATTACTGGATCTCCCTGTGCCACGGACACACAGAAACACTAGGTGTGACGCCTTCATAGCAATGCCCCATCAACCCCTCATGCTGCTGACTCTGATTGACAATGGCACTGAAACTGAAGAGATAAGGAAGTATAACACCACTGTGGCTAGAGAAGTGACTTCAAAACTACGCAGGTTTACCAATGAAAGCATTAATCTGATACATGGAGTTTTGAGTTTGAGTGACCTCATAGACACGGACACGTGCTACATAAAGTTACAGAGAATAGCAGCATTATCTGCATCCTTTGTTCCCAAGTCTTCTGTTGATGACTCTTGCAAAATATGAACACGTGATGATGGCTTTCTGGGCAGCTGTTGCTGAAACAAAGTCAGCCCTGACAGAGACAGGTGAAGTAGATGACAGTTGTATCCACTTTCTCACTTCTGATCAGTGTATTGTGTCTTGTGGAGAACATCGAAAGTAGATATGTTTCCTGCAGACAGGAGACCGACATTGAATCCACGACTCTGATGGTGGAGGTGGCCAGGAGACTGAGTAGACTGGGTGACACTCTACTGATATGCAACTCACAGGAAGAAAAGAGCAGACTCAGGTATGTGGAATCACATAAACTGTATGTATACTCTAAACAATCATTGTTGTTTTGTTTTTTTAGATAATAGTGATATGACTAATACTAAATCGGATAAAGGCAAAGACTTGACGTTCTTCATCTTGTACATCTTAGATCAACCATGTATATGCCTTAACTATAAAAAATACGTCCCACAACATGTATGTAGTTCCAAATGACAAGGCTTCAAATAGCATAAAATTAATGGATGAATGAAAGCATCGCTGCCTAAATTATTTGATCAAATCACTTGGAAGTGACATGTCTCATAATGCTACAAATGTTTCTCCAGTTATTAACTAATGGATCGGTACTATAATCAACACCATCACATTTTTCTTTAACCCTATGAATGAGTGAACGAGTGAGAATTGATAGTCATATCGGCAGTATGTGCTCTACCCACCATGTATAGTGTAATAAAGCTCCCTGAACTATTATAGTTAATGAGCGTTATGATAGTTTAGGGCGAAAGTGTGCTTTATTACATTATACATGGTGGTAGAGCGAACAGTATTTCTTTTCTAATATGCCAAATTTAATACTTTCTAAGGATAATTACGATTAATCTACGGCAAAAAACGATCGACTGTGTCGATGACCTAAATGAAGAATCCTCGCACAGGGCTAACTGGCGCGCTGTTCTATTGATGTGTCTGCCCCCTACGTTAAGACGAACGTAACCAGAACAACAAATGATAGACAGTTTCATGACGGTTAAAATACGGATTAAATATCTCCTCTAAATGAATTTAATTACATCTGTGATTAACGTAAACCATATGAACGTCGCATTTGTACTACAAACGTAAGTTTAGATCCGTATGCAACTGGCAGTTTTTTATTCTGTTTGAAATTCGTTTTTCTATGACATCATCCGCTCATTGTAAGGCAAATATACTGAAAATTACATGCATCGTAACTCTGGCCAGTTTTGACACATTACGAAATACACACAGTTAACGTCAAAGTGAATTTTTAGCCATATTGCATTGTGTTTATAAACGTCACACGTACTCTTACACGAATCCGTGAATTCCTCATACAGTTCAAAATAAAATGACAAATGGTCTTTGTCACCAATACCAAGTGTTTCAGTGAAATCTAACGTAATATATCAGATGCCGTGCTTGAAAAGGATCACTTGTTTGAAATGTTAACAAAGTCGAACTCAGATTTCACTCTGTGTATCTGTTCGCCTACTTTTGTTGCATACACTTGCTCATTAGTTTTAGACCATGCATAGGAAAGATATTGTAGCAAGCGACAGTTAAATAAATAGGTGTATTGCAATGATTTCCGAGATTCATCACAATATATTATAATGTCTTTAAAGCGTGACGTCATGAAAGATGTGACAGACGATGGAAGTTCTCCTAATTTCTGACTATTTCCCTTGGTCATAATGAGAACAAAAAGAAAATAAGAACCAGCAGATTGTCAGAATGTTTCGGACTACTTACATGTCACATTCATGTATATACGTTGCTTGAAACAACGAAATTTCCGGCGTACTTCCGTACTCGTGTCAGTGAACACGTCATTTTGAGAATGTCGCTTCCCGATAGTGATGTCATACGTACGTCAACATTGGTACACATATTTGGTATTTTCATTGAGTTGAGGTTCTGAATGAAAATACACACGATCAATCTGTCCTGCTGCTTACATTTTTCAGTTCTTATGCTTCTATCGTATTTTGCACAAACTTTTCTCACGTGATTAATTTCAGTATTATTATCTTTTAATTTTGGACGAGAAGGGAGACCAGTCTAAATTCAAGTGGCACCAATTACGTCATCAAAGGGCGGTAACTCTGGCCTGTTAAGCTCGGCATACAAAGACCGCATGATGGCATAACATTTCAGCACTTCTTTTGAGGGTTATACTTTAATTGTAAGAAAAATGAACGTATAATTTCAAACATTGATATTAAATAATTAAAATATTTCATTTTGTTTCACATAAGATTAAGTGTGATTTTATCGTGCACACTTCCGCTTTAACCACCTTTGAGGATAAAGTCACTAACCATCTCAGTTACTAATTGACCGTGAAGATCCGGGGTAGAATAGGTGTTCAGCAACCCATGCTTGCCACTAAAGGCGACTATGCTTGTCGTAAGAGGCAACTAACGGGATCGGGTGGTCAGGCTCGCTGACACATGTCATTGGTTCCCCAATTGCGCAGATCGATGCTCATGCTGTTGATCACTGGATTGTGTGGTCCAGACTGCATTATTTACAGACCGCCGCCATATAGCTGGAATATTGCTGAGTGCGGCGTAAAAGTAAACTCACTCACTCACTCTTATTATAATATTGATTTAGAGATGAATCAAAACAAAACAAACTACAAGTAGTTATCTGTTATATATAATGGCCGTTTGCCCTAGGCTTAGAGTGCGTTTTCTCAAGCAGCGGTGTCCGTTTTCTTGTGAGTGATGGCAGTTTTCTCAAATTTTGTTCTTGTTGTTTTCGCTGAGGTCCGTTTTCACTATAACCCAAAATGGGATACGGAGAAAACGTCATGTTTTAAGTGTTCAGTACGTAATGTGACAGTTTTGAGAATGGTAGGGAAGTGATCATTCCCACATAGGTCATCATGAATCATTCATTCAAATTCATTGTGCAAGTTGGAATCAGTGAGTGCGAGATATAGGGCAGCATATGTTCCAGTGGCTTGATGTTAAATAGATAGTTGAATCATCATTAAAACACACAGGTTATATATATCACCGGACTGGAACATGAGTCTGGCATAAGACTCTAGGCAATCATAAATAATATATAGTGGTTTCAATTTCCTCACTTGTGGCCACGATCAAATGTTACCTTTGAGTAAATAGCCAACTATTATCTTGTGCGCAGGGCTTGGCATGACCGGCCGATTGATAGAACCAGCTCATTCTGGGCCTGAGGTATTCCTGGCTCCTGTCTCCTCGACCATCATAAGAATCTTTTCCTCCCCCGACACGGGCGCAATTCACAGCAATTCACAGGTTGCCCAATTTGGCTGTCTCTTAAGGCCAGCAATCGGGAGCCACACGCGTGCAGAGTTACTAACGTTGCTCAGCACTCACCACGAGCTGGCTGCTCTTCATGAGTGCCTAAAACCTATAGACATGACCATTCCTCCTTTGTACTTGGTTCCAAAGCTCCATAAAGTCCGTGCACAGAGAAAGAGATTGCAGGTTACAGCAAAAGCAACATCATAGCCCTGTCTCAAAATTTTAACCATAAACCTTCTTTCAAGAGGGAGTTTCTGTCACATTCACAGAAGGTACTTGAGACAACTTATATTATCAAACCTTCAAAGATTAGCCTACTACTTTTGTAAACTAAAAATCAAATTGATTCTGCCAAAAGATTAGTTTTTAGCTCTCATATAACAAATTTCAGGAAAATTCTGTGACACATGGGGCTTTTGTACTAAAAAAACGTGATGACCGTAGTTAGTAACCTGTCTGACTTCAGATGTTCATGATAATTTGTCAAACATATCGGATAAGAACTTCTGAAGTTCACTGACACTATGTTTTTGCTGCAGATCTGTCTACTCGTCAACAATCTCGGTTCTTGATGTGGAAGGCACCGACCTGTCAAAGTTTCAAAATTTGGTTCATGAAACGAACAGTTATCTGTTCGAACCCTCTGGCCGACAATGGAAGTTTCTCAAAGGTATATAGTGTTCATGCATTATACTTTTTACAGTCATGGCAGATACTTTCATTTATGTTAATGTAAGGTTTTTATGGACAATGTTGTTCATAACGCTTAACCTTTTCTTTCAGTCATCCCTTAATTCTATCCAGTGATAGATTAAACTGGAATACCTAAATGCTTGTTTTTGCAGGCACTCAACACAGGTCACATACTACAAAGAATCAAACAGTAAGTCCAAAATTATATTAATGTTTGTTGATCATTCATTTATTTGTAAATGAATCTACAGGATGCGTACTGGATGATTGTACATACACCTGAAACCGAAAATAGAGATTTTGCATGTGCGTAGCCACACCAAGACGTATGAAATTAGCTGTTCGTCACTAACTATCTCCATGTTATACTGCTGCTGATTGTTGCACATTGCAATATGTTCAGACTGAGACATCAAACAGGAAAGAAGATGGTTGCCAAGTGTTCCACACTAAAGACTTTCTCCGACCACAGTTACAGCAAGCGGAAGGAGATATTACTGAAATTAGACGTCATTACACGATGATAGGTACTGTACTGCTGTTGCTTAGATATACACACTGTTTTTATATGTTTGATAATTCGTATGTAATTAAAAACAAATATAGGATCAGAAGAAATAAATGGGACATCTGCTTCATTCCTCTGTTTTACAGAGGGTTATGATGAAGATTTATGGATGTTGACTTCTGTAAGGTGAGGTACAGGACCTTTTGGAGTGTATACATACTCCTTTATCATGTGGAAATCTAGGAAATAGATAGCTATATAAGTATATGTGGAACAACAAGAATGATTAGATGACAATATTGGCATTTAACAGAGATGATGATATGAAATTTTAATATGTGACAATAGCAATGATTGTTTGAGCCAAGGAAATCCGATGATGCCAGCTCACACCACATCCAAATTCATCCAAATATGTTCAATACATACGGCCTGAGGTCACATAAGATATAGGGAGCTGCTTGTGAACCTACAATGCTTCTTCAATAGCTTAATCTCGTGTGGGCGAAGACTCTAAATGGTGTTCATACTTTATGGTGATCTGTGGCGGTGGGGTAGCCTAGTGGTTAAAGCGTTGGTTCCTCACGCCGAAGATCCGGGTTCGAATCCCCACAAGGGTACAATGTGTGAAACCCATTTCTGGTGTTCCCCGCCGTGATGGTGCTGGAATATTGCTGAAAGCGGCGTAAAACCAAACTCAGTCAGTCAGTCAGTCATGGTGATCTTAATCTAACCCCAAACACTGTGAGTATACCTCATTTAGTGTCTCGGTTACCGCCACGGGACGACTGTTCCATTCTTAAGTAAGGGAATTGCTGAGGTCCCGTCTCACAAGGACGCTCTGACAGGGCTATTTATACCTTGTTTCACGTTTCACAGTGGTGAGGAGAGTGTGACGGGGCAGGCTACTCCTTGTGGACAATGGACTCTTGCATTGTCATCTCTTAGGATGAAGTGAAGTCTTGACTTTACCAGCATAGAGTCACGTACAAAACCAGAATGTTATGCTTACCCTATATCATGATTAAGCCTTCTCGATATTGGTCATGGACTGAATACTGAAATATTTTCCTTTCTGAGCAAGATCGAGCACCATGTCCAAATCTAGACTATATGTTAATTCCTCTGGAAACCAGTCTTGGTCTGTCTAAGTGACACGATCTTCATCTCTATTCCAAAGTCGTTAACTGTCGGTCAGTGCTATGTGAATGCATGCCTCGGACTGGAGACAAGCTCACGTTCACAATGACAACGACTTGGGAGTTAATCCAAACGTATAGTATCGACCACCAAAGACATTTGTTGACCTAGTTTCAATCATGCCTATCCCTCAGCCTAATTATTCAAGTGTCTAACCATATTTAAACTTGTGCACATCGTGCAAATGACTGCATGCCTCTGTCAATTCTGTGTCCTCCTGTGGGGGTACGGAAGTCCCAAAACATTCAAAGTAACATTAAACGTACCATTATGTTTAACTATAGAATATATGTTATTTTAATTTATGGCTAAATTGTCCTTGCTGACAACTGAAGTGGTATAAATCCAGCTTAGATCCATGCAGGAAGTGAATGTACTGTAAAATCCCTAAATTGGTGATCTACCTTCAGCTGTTGGCTTTCTATAGCCTGTTTTATGTTGTATTGTCACATATAGTTAAAATGTTTTAGAGTTCATTACTAGTTTAAAACTGAAATCTGTGATAAACTAATTATTTTACTGTCCTTCGTTGACAGGGTTTTATAATTTACCTTTATTTATTATGAAATTATAACTTGCTTTTAGTCACTATATGGCTGAAATATTGCTGATGTGACTTCAAATCCTAACTCACTCACTCACTGTCAACTCTTTTTGTTACTGAGGTCATTCATCTGTTATCCAACCATTCTGGAATTCACTCATCACTTGTTGGTTGCATTTTGCTTAATTTGTCCCATGTTTCATTGAATGTTATCTCAATTTGTTTCATTTGAATTGTTTCCAACCAGTCCCTGTATGATCCCTTATCATTTTTTTTCATTCTTTATTACGTATGGATGGCCATGAGACCAACTGTACACATGTGTAAAACAGTAAGGTAACGACATGCATATGCGCCACACTGAGAATATAGATCTTATTAAATTGATATGAGATTTTTGTATGATCCCTTATCTCTATACTTGAAGTTAATTGTACTTAACTGATCCTTATATCAACAGGCGGCGTCAACATAATTCCAGTCAGTCTGACAAGCCATTTGGTGGACATTAAGGATATGCTACTTTCAGTCCTGGAAACTGATAAATCCCTCTTTCACTGCAACATTGTCACTGGTGCAGAGCTGGACTTGAGTGATGACGAGAAGTGTTTGGTGCATTTGACAGAATCCTTAGCAACAACACTAGACTTTCCAGTTTCAGAGAGACCTTCTGAAATACGATGTGATATGTTTCTGGCCCTTCCAAAGCAGCCCCCAGTTGTACTGACAGTGATGAACTGTGAACATGAATCGAAAATGATAACAAATTACAACACCTCAGTAGCCAGAGAAGTGACTGCAAAATTACGTCGTTTTACAAGTGAAAACCTTAATGTTATACATGGGGTTGTGAGCAAGAATGACATGAAAGATAACGAGGTGTTCTTTGCAAAGTTACAAAAAATTGCCGCAGTGTCTTCAGTATTCATTTCAAAAGCTTCTTTGATGATGAACTCGTTCAAGTATGACCAAATACTTATGGCTTTCTGGGCAGCATTAGCTGAGACAAAAGTAGATGTACAAGAGAGTCAGTTAAAATTTCTTAACAAAGAACAATGCATCCTTTTGTTGGAAAATCTTAACAGAATGAATGTCGAGGTCAGGCTTCATTCCAGTAGTGAGGCCACCACCCTGATGCTTGAGGTTGCCAGGAGACTGAGCAGACTGGGCAACACCTTGCTGATCTGTCGGATACGGGAGGAGAGGGACCGATTGAGGTAGGTTGTATAGATGGGCCGAACGTGTATAATCCCTCTTGTTCCATGGTTATAATCTACCTTCTTGTGCAGTACAGTTATCATCTGTCTTGTGTTACAGTGTAACCTATCTTGTTCTACAATTCTTTTGTATCTTGTTATACAGGTATTACCTATTTCATTCTCTAGTCTGTTAAATTGTACGTGTATGTTGAAGGATTTATGAAAGTTGTGCTTAAAGATAAAACTTTACATTTCCAGGTCAGTGTACTCATCCACGATATCAATGAATGATGTCTGGAAGACGGATCTATCAGCATATGAGAACATTGTTCATGATGCTCGCAGTCTGCCCCAGATGCCGAGTGGTTGTCGGGTGTGGAGATTCAAAACAGGTAAGAATGTCAATGTCCTAAAAACTAATCATGATAATTGTTTTCTCACACATCCAATTTATCTATTGCTAAGACATGAATCTTAACACCAATTTGTATCCGATATATTGCAGTTACGACTGTTACTAGTGGAACTTATGAACCTCAATAATCCAAATTATCAAATGAAGCAGTGTAGTTTAAATCATGCACTGGTTAAAATGATTCCATGTTCACTTGGTATTTCACAAGAAACGTTTTCAATGTTTAGTAGAGAATAATGAGGGTTTTATTTACTTTGGGATGGATTGTTTGTGTTTTTATTACAAAACTATTGTGCAGTGGATTTCAAGGTCGTTGAAGCAGTTATGACACATTATTGTATGAGGCACCCGTGAATAGCCACCTGATCGTGGTGGGTGCTGGGTAACGCTAAGAGCTCTTCAACCCCCCGTGTGGACCCGGGGGAATATTTGGTCCACCAACCTGTTTGCCGTGGGCTGCTCCCCCGGTGTCGGTGGAGGACGGGAGGCTGGTGGTTGAGGGCACTGGGAGCCTGGAACCGTGTTCCTTTTGCCCAACACACCATTTCGCCCCTTACTTCACCTAGACGGGTGGTAGAACTGGCCCGGTCCTACCAATCGGCTGGTCACGCCATGCCCTGTGCATAGAAAGTATTTTTGCACATTTGAATTATTGGGTATTGGTAATTTTACTTGTCTAGTATACAAATTATTGTTAATTTTAATTGCCTTATTGCTAGATTCCTATGCCAGACGGCGGTGGCTCATGGGCCAATCTGGTTATATAGACCTCTGAATTCCGTGTTCTTTAGAAAAGTGTCATGGGCCGAACCAGCCTGGCACTTATTCAAGTCTGTATTTTCTGGAGTATAACATCCCTGTAACCCTGGTATTGCAGTCTGGTTTCCACTGCGATACCGTCCTTGTTGACACTCGAGGGCGGGTGGGGGGCAGGGTTGTTGAATTATATTATTACACCATGGCTAAAAACGCTCAATCTGGTTCATCGAAAACAAGCAAACGTCGTCATATGTCTTCTTCATCCGATGAAGAGATATCTACTTTCTTTAAAGATTCATGTCAAGTTGTTGGTCATTGAAAGTTCTGATGGAAATCCTTTAAAGATCAATCCTTTTGCCATCTCCAAGGGTATCCAAGGTATCTGCGGTGAGGTAAAAGAAGTCACTCGTCTCCAAAATGGTTCTCTTTAATTGAATGCTTACGTAGGCAACAATCTGTCAATCTGCTAGGACTACAGCAGTTTGTAAACAACCAGGTTGTTGTTTCAATTCATAAAACTCTCAACACATTTAGAGGTATTATCAGAGACAGGACCCGCGGTCTGTCCGATATGACAGAAGATGAGATTGTAGCAGAACTGAAAGACCAGGGAGTCACTTCTGTTAAACGTTTTAGCAGGAAACAAGTGTCAACCTTGGTAAAAACAAGTACATACCTTTTCACTTTTGGCTTGACAACTCTTCCCAAATTCATAAAAGCTGGATGCTGTAATATATGTAGAGATATATGTACCAAATCCACTCCGGTGTTACAAATGCCCAAAATTTGGAAATGGTGCGAGATCTTGTACAGGTAAGTCAGTGTGTTCACGTTGCAGTAGAGCTCATGAAAGCACTGAATGTACTAATGACATAAAGTGTGCCAACTGCAGTGGTGGGCATCTGACATCGTCAAAAACTAGTCCAAAATTTGAGTATGAGTGCAAAATCCTAAAATTGAAGTGCAATTATAATATCTCCTACTTTGAAGCAAAGAAATTGGTTCAGGATCAATCAAAACCAGCAACAGGTCTTACCTATTCTGCTACAGTTTCTACTCCTGCTCCCTGTTCTGTCAAAACAGCTACATCCGTTTCAACATCTTGTCAGACCGTTATATCTTGCATAAATGACGCTCAGATAACCTTAGATGACACGACCCAGCCATCACAAGATTGACAGCGCTCATCAGCCTCAAAGACTGAGGAGACCCAACCAGGACAAATATCAGATATTGATTTAACTCCAGATACCAAGAGCGTAGTTAAACTCACAAATAAAGAAAAGAAAAAGTCGAGAAAAAAGACCAGAGCCCTTCAACATGTAGAAGATCCTTCTCCTTTAACACCTTCTGTTGCGGTCCAAAATCTGTTTGAACCGCTTGACATGGAGATCACTCCTTCACAAAATGGTTGTAGGAGTGGCGCTGCCACGCGCTCACCATCTCCAGTGTAAGCTCCCTAAGCAGTTTTATGAAATTAATACAATGGAATTGCAGAGGCCTCAGAAACAATTTTAACGATCTACACTTATTGTCACAAGAGTTTACACCATCGGCTTTTAGTCTACAAGAGACATACCTGAAAAGTACAGACAGATTTGAATTGCGTCTGTCCAATTCATTTCAGACGAGAACGTATTCTGAACTTGATTTATCACTCTCAGATCCAAATATTTATAACGAGTTTGAATGGTCGGTCCATGATGACCTTTGTTGAAGTGACCATTTCCCCACAATTCTCTTAGCTATAAATCCGACTGATGACCCACCTGAAACCAGGTGGAATTTCAGTAAGGCTAATTGGCCTTTATTTCAAACACTTTGTACTGAGAAATTAAAATCCGACCTTTTGATGAATGTCCCGGATCCTATTCAGTTGTTCTCGGATACATTGAATGATATCGCTGATGAAACTGTTCCTAAGTCCTCTGGTAAACCTCATTGTCGTAAACCATGGTTTTCTGATGCTTGTAAACAAGCAAGGAAGTGTAGGAAAAAGGCAGAGAAGTACTTTCGACGACATCCTACAATTCACAATTTTAATAATGTAAAAATGAATAATGCCAAGGCTCGGCGTACTTTCAAACAAAGTAAACGGCAGTCTTGGAAGAACTTTGTATCAAAAATTATTTCACGTTCACCAATGAATAAGATGTGGAACATGATACAGAGAATTAAGGGCAAAGGTAGAAATTCTAGTGTTCATCATCTTAAAGATGGACACGATATGTTAACAGATGCAACTGACATTGCAAACAAGTTGGATGAAACTTGAGCTACTCATTCTTCTTCATCTAATTATAATCCACAGTTTCAGAAATATAAAACTCATCAAGAAAAGTTGTCAATTAACTTTCATTCTGAAAATGGTGAAGACTCAAATGAAGTATTTTCACTGCATGAGTTAAATACTGCCTTGGCACAAGCTCATGATACGGCAACTGGAGCTGATAACATCCACTATCAGCTCTTGAAACATTTACCCAGTGCATGTCTTGAAACACTTCTGAACTTTTTTTTATCATATTCGCACAACAGGACACTTCCCTCCTTCATGGCGTCATACCATTGTTGTACCAATACCTGAGCCAGGCCGAGATAATACAGATCGATCTAACTATAGACCAATTTCTTTAACAAGCTGTGTTTGTAAAACCATGCAACACATGATCAATACTAGATTAGTATGGTTTCTAAAATCCAGTAATCTTATTACTAACAGTCAATGTGGTTTTCGCAAAAATCATAGCACTATTGACCATTTGGTTCGACTAGAATCATTCGTTAAAAATTCCATTGTAAATAACCAGCATGGTGTATCAATCTTTTTCGACCTAGAAAAAGCTTACGATACCACATGGAAACATGTTATCTTAAGAGATTTACATGACTTTGGTTTGAGAGGCCGTTTGCCTCATTTTATATCACAGTTTTTAGCAGACAGACAATTTCAAGTTCGTGTTGGATCAACCCTGTCTGACCATTATCATCAGGATCAGGGGGTTCCACAAGGCAGTATTTTGTGTGTTACTTTGTTTAGCATAGAAATCAATAGTCTCTCAAACGTATTAAATGACTCAATAGATGGGTCATTGTTTGTGGATGATTTCGACGTTTCATGTCGTGGTAAAACTATGCATACCATCGAGAGACAATTACAGATGTGTTTAAATAAAATTCATAAATGGTCACTTGAGAATGCCTTTAAATTTTCACAGTTAAAGACCAAATGTATAGAAATATAAGCCTCATAAAGATCCCGAACTGTTCTTAGATGGCTCTCCAATTAACCTTGTGCAGGAAGCCAAGTTTCTGGGGCTGATTTTTTATAAACATTTGGCCTTTTAACCACATATTAAGTATTAATAGACTTAATAGATCTATTGTCTTCAGGCATTTAAAGTCGTATCAAATTCAAAGTGGGGAGGAGATCAAACTACCCTGCTTCATTTGTACAGATCACTCATCCAATCAAAACTTGATTATGGTTCCATCGTATATGGTGGGGCCTGTAAAAGCAACTTGAAACTACTTGATTCTATCCACCACCAAGGTCTAAAGTTGAGGCCTGAAGTTGATCTAACACTGAAAAAGTTTAAGAAATCTGAAACTAATGAATTACAGTATAAACAAGAATATAATCAATTAAAAAAAACACATATAATACATACAAATCCTAATTTACAGATGGGTCCAATGTTGGTGGCGCGGTGGCATGTGCCACTGTCATTGGATCCAGAACGATATCTTCTCGACTACCAAATAACAGCTCTATTTTCACAGCAGAAGCTAACGCCATATTAACTGCTCTTAAATCTATTAATACACACCCTAAATATAAACATTACATGATGTTTTCCGATTCTCTTTCGTGTCTTCAGGCTAATAAAAATCTTTCTTGTAAACATCCACTTTTGTTAGAAATTATTGAATTGTATAATGAGCTTGCTACTAGCCAATGCGACATCGTTTTTAGTTGGTTACCCTGCCACGTTGGCATTTCTGGGAACACAATTGCTGATCTTGCTGCCAAGGCAGCACTCAACAAATCTGTGACACCACTTCTTATTCCATACTCTGATTACAAAGCTATCATTAGAACCTACATCTGTGATCTGATGCATCAGAAGTGGGACACCCAAGTAGGTATTAACAAATAACATGAAATATAACCCTATATCGGTTACACTTACTTTGGTTGTCAGTCCAGATTTGAAG